TGGGTGAGGATATGTCCGAGCATCCGCTGCCTTGCGCGTATCCCGGGGGTAAAATACACACCCAGACTCAACCTGGAGGCCGGTATCTCACGTATTTCTTGAGGGTGGTTTTGTTTCGTTTCTTTTCCCCTCTTTCTGTTCCATCCTGAAGTTGGAAAAGAGACTGAACGTTAGCACGCCTACTTCTGCTCTTCCCTCGTGTGACGCGGTGGGGGGAACGGTGGCGAAACTCGTCCGCTCGCGTCAAAATGAGGCGTTGGAACCTTGTGCTGTGTGTCTCTCTCTATGCTTTGCCTTGATTGTGGGTGATTTAAATGTTAAGTTGCATCCTAAAAAATAGAGTATGAGTCAAATGTGCCCTCTCGGCCAAGGCTGATGGCATCCTGGGGTGCGTTAAGAGGAGCGTGGCCAGCAGGTCGAGGGGAGTTCTCCTCCCCCTCTGCTCCGCGCTGGGGAGGTCTCCCCTGGAGTGCTGTGTCCAGTTCTGGGCTCCTCAGCTCAACAAGGACAAGGAGCTACTGGAGAGGGTCCAGCACAGGGCCACTACGATGGTTTAGGGCCTGGAGCACCTTCCGTATGAGGAAAGGCTGATTATCAATGCTTATCCATATCCAAAGGGTGGGTGTCAGGAGGGTGGGTCCAGTGGTGTCCAGTGACAGGACGAGGGGCAGTGGTCATGAACTGGAAACAGAAAGTTCAGTGTGACCATGAGGAAACCCTTCTGCCCTGTGAGGGTGACAGAGCCCTGAACAGGCTGCCCAGAGAGGGGTGGAGTCTCCTTCCCTGGAGACTTTCCAAAGCCCCTGGACTTGTTCCTGTGGGATCTGCTCTAGGGGATCCTGCTCTGGCAGCGGGGTCGGACTGGATGATCTCCAGAGGTCCCTTCCAACCCCGACCACTCTGTGTGAATGTGTGTGTGAAATTTCTTCTTGCACATAAAGCTTATTGCATTTATTCCGTATTCTTCTTCACCAGATCAGAGTAATAATTCATATGATGCTGTGGAAGAACTGAAATATCGTTGTTCTCTTAAAATTGCCCTGGATATTTTGAACCAAAATGGACAAGCACCACCTTCAGAAGAAGGACCAAATACTCGGCTATCCCAGGAGAACGCTGCGGGATCTCTCTCATCCACCCCCCTGCGTGGAAGTCAGTCGTGCACCCGCTCTGAAGAAAAGTTGGAGCCTGAGAGTTCCAAGAAGAAAAGAGGACAAAAAAACAACCCCGGCCTGAAGACTGACACGAAACACCCAAACCAGAAGGGCTCTTTGATTTTGGAGGAGAGTGCTAAAGCACGTGACAGTGGACCGAAACCTTCCGCGTGGGAGGCTGGGCACTCGCACGGTACGTCAAACTCGGACAGTCAAAACTGTAAAATACCAGAATCTAAATCACTACAGAGACAGAAAAAATCCGAGCCCGGTTTGTTGACCAAGTCCAAACCCGGAAAGAAGGTTTCCCTTAAGCCCCAGAAGGAAAAAAGTAAGCAGGGAAGGAGACTGGGAAGTGCAGGATCACCTGCTGCGAGCGGGAATGATCTTCCCCAGGATGAAGCACAGCTCTCTCCTGAGGAAGGGTCTCCCCGCTCTCTCCCCCGCGAGTCCTACACTGTGGCAGCTGCCAGAAGGGCGAACACCAAAAATCAACCCAGAGGGACGCTGCTGGATTCCTCCTCCAAAAGTGCCCCGGATGCCTCGGAAAAGCGCATCAGTCACGAGAGCGAAAGCTTAGCGAAGCAGCTGGGCGGAAGAAAAAAGCCAGCGAGTTTAAAACGGGCTAACGGAGACCAAGGGGTCGGTGCCACCCTGCCCTCCCGCCCAAAAAGGAAGTGCCAGGACGGCCCCGAGTCCTCATCTGGGCCTTCTCACCACCGGATGCTTTCTGGTGGCTTCCCCTCCCCGCGCCAGGAGGAGGAGGAGAAGCAGAGTTTTTCTCCCGTGGCTGTGAATAAAGTGACGCTGTTTCAGCTGCCTGACTTTGAGGAAGATGAAGGTGGGTGCGTCGCTTCGGGAAGGGAAAACTCCCCTTTGGTCCTCAAGCGCGTTTGTCTCGGAATGTTGCCGTGGCGCGTGTGGCTCTTGAGTTGCTGATTTTTTTTTTTTAGTTGGTTTTAGGTTTTGGAGCAGCAAAGAATGCGGTCGCTGTAAAGGCTGGTGAAAAGCCAGCGTCGCTTTTAGGGTGTCTGGAGTTTTGTTTGGGGGGTTTGGGTGGGAAAAACTGCGCTTTGCGGTGTTTCCTGCCCTTTGCTGGGTGACCGCTTTCGCACGCGGCTGTTCGCCGTGCCGCTGTCGGCTGGCATCGAGGTGTTGCGTAAAGGAGCAGGCTGGCCCAGAGCCCCGAAACCAGCCCGTTCTGCTTCTTCCCCCTCTCTCCGTACGGCGGTTATTGGGCCTTTACGGGAGAACCGGGGGTGCGAGGTGTGCTGGGGGGCGGTCGCTTACGTGGTTGTGTTCCGCCTGGTCCCTGGTTATGAGCTGGTGCTTCCTCCTCTTGGCAGGGCTGGAATTGTCCAACCTGTCTTCCAATATCATTTCCTTGGAGAATCTCTCTCGCATCTCGGCTCTGGTAGATAAAGAGGAGGAGGATGAAGACCTGCCCAGTGTTTTATCGCCTCAAGGTGAGGGATCGGGGTACCCGTAGGAGGAATCTTCACCCCGGGTTGGGGTGCTTTTTAGGGTACGTGTGCTTACCCTTCTAGGAAGGGAATCCAGTGGTGTCCAAGCTTGGAATGCAATGGGTTTCTTGGATGCCCCAGAAAGGCTTTTTGAAACAGAACGAAGTGCAAATCTCTGGGAAACCAGGCAAGATCCCAGTATCGAAACATCCCAGTTCCTGTGCTGCATCTTGGGGGGGTGGGGGGTGCCCCGTCACCTTAACTGAAACCTGTAAAAGCGCTGAAGCGAAACTGCTGGAAGGAGGCTGATGAGAGGGGGGGTGGGCCAACGGTCTTGTCACGCTCCTTTTCGGTTAAAATGTCTTTATTTTTCCCCACAGAGCCCCAGGTGATGGAGGAAGGGATTCTGGTCTGGTGCAAGCTGCGGAGGTATCCTTACTGGCCAGCCGTGGTAAGAGCAGCCCGCGGCCGCCTTCGCGTGGTGTTGCCAGGGGTCTGAAAAGGGGCAGTTTACCAAGTCCCTGAGCACCTCTTGCCCTTCTGGACTCGTGTAGAGCTGGAAATATTAAAGATCTTCCAGTAGAAGCATTCCAAAGAGAATAGGAGTGGATTTACGCGTGGCAAAAGCACTTAAACGTGGTTAATTGACTCGTGTTTATATTGGGGCGGCGGGTTGGAGCTTTTGTGCCGCGTGTGGTGAGTTAGGGTTGTACCCAGCCCACCGGGGACGGAGGATGGGTGCCTTGAGCGCGGGGTGTACCGCAGAGCGTCGCTGGCGTGCCTTTCGGGGGTTTCGGATGCGAAGGAGGCTTCGTCCTTTCGGCAGGTAAAAAGCGTGAAGCGGAAACGCAGGAAGGCCTGCGTGCTGCTGATCGAAGGCGACACCGGCGACAAGAAAAAAGGGTAACGTGGATTTTGGTCCCGTTTGGAACTCTGGGCTGCTTTTAGGCAGTGTCCCGTGCTCCTCCTGGTACAGGGTGATTCCGCTGCCGGCTGAAACCGGGGTCGCTGGGAGGGCGGGAGTGGGTAAGGGGAGGATTCACGGGCTACGCGGGGGTGGCATTCCCGCCAGGAGCTGATGCTCACGCCAGGCCTGAAAAAAGGGCTGGGGACCAGCTCCTGGTTTTCACATGTGGTGCCCAAACTTCCTAGAAACACAGGCTTGCCTTTAGTTCTATATAAAAGCAGGTACTTCTCGTTTGTTACAGGAATCCATAGTTTTAGCTTATTATGAAACGCCCAAACTAGTAAAACCTGTGCTGCCAAATTCCTCGGGAAACCTAATTTTCAGGGAGGATGTGGAGTTGCAGTAAGCAGGGAAGGGGCAACTCACTTGCCTCTTTTCCCTAACTCTGTTTCTTTGCTTCCTCAAGTTTCTCGGTGCCTCTTAAGAACCTGAAGCACTTTGACTGCGAGGAAAAGCAGGACCTGATAGTAAGTAGCTCCGGCAGCGCGTAACCCCGCTGGGACAAACGAAGCCGCGCGTGGCGCAGCCGACCGCTCGGCGTTTGTTCACGGCGCTCTCTTCCCTCTCGCTGCGTGCCACAACGTCATTAAGCCTAATTCGTGCCCCGTAAAATGGGGATTAATGTGAGAAGGGGGTCCCCCGATGCCTTTATCCTCGGTGAGGCTGCCGCTGAGAGCGCCTCTGCGTGGAGGTCTTGCTGTGTTTTCACCTCTGGGTTTCTGGCCTCCGACGAAGCGGCCGCGCGCCGCAGCGGTGGCAGGAAGTGGATTTTGGGAGAATGGCAGAAAACTGCGAGTGGATTTGGCTTTGCTGTCGTCAGCCCCTTCTGTTACCTGTCAGTGTCCGAGGCACAAACGCTTCGGTAGTTCTCTGGGGACTGAAGGTGGTTCTTGTCTTGTAGAACCGAGCCAAAGAAGATTATCCCCGAGAGATCGAGTGGTGTATCCGGCTGATTTCCGACTATCGCATCCGAGTGGGTAAGCGGATGCGCCGGGTGATGTCACCCGTTCGGACAGACACCGGAAAAAATAATGCTGTCGGCTCTGTGTCGTTGGTTCGATGGAACTGATAAATAACCCTGCGTTTGGGGCTTTTCAGGTTGTCATTCTTTCACGGGGTCCTTCTTGGAGTATTTTGCTGCCGATATCAGTAAGTGAATTCATTATTTCTGTTTTCTTCTCTTCGTAGGGAAGTTTTAGCCCTGATGTTTATGGGGGTGTGTTGGGTTAGAGGTGTCAGACCCGGCGGGGGGGCTGTTCGGTACCACACACCACTGCTGAGCCCTCAGTCCCACCACAGAAGGTCAATAAAAACGGGTTGTTGGAGACAGCCGGGTGACTGCTGGCTTGCAGACCTCATCTCGGGCTCCTGCCAGAGTTTCAACTCCCCAACCTTTTTGTTTTAAGGCAGAATTAAGGTGGTGGTGGTGGGGGGGTTTTACCCCCTTTGGTAGGGGATGAAGAAAAACCTCTCTCCTCTTGAGAAAGTCCCGTATTTTACGTTTTCCTATCTAGGTGTGCATGCAAGCAAGCCCTTTGTTTTCTACATCTATTACGAGTGCATGTCGCTTTTCCCTTCAGGCTACCCGGTCAGAAAGGAGGGTTATCACGGTGTTGTCCAGATGGCCTTTCCCAACGTGCTGGGGGTAGATCCCAAGGGATCGTCATCAGAAACGTCACCGCAGAAGCCCTTCAAGAAACTCCTTCCTGACAGGACCAGAGCCGCGCGAGACAAAGCCAATAAAAGGATCGTGGACTTCATAGTGAAGACGAAGGGGGCCGAAGAGCATCTCTTGGCTGTTTTGAAAAGCAGAAAACAGTCACGGTGGCTGAAGAAATTCCTGAATTCTAGTCAGTACATGAGCTGTGTCGAGACCTATTTAGAGGACGAAGAGCAACTAGACCTTGTAGTAGACTACTTGAAGGAAGTGTATCAGGAAATAGACACCAAAATGCTGCAGAAGATAAATGGAGATGGAGTAACGTTTATTTCAGATGTCCTTTTGCCCGAGGTAAGCAAACCTGCGGCGCGGAGGAAAGCACGCGTGCAAATAAACGGCGCTACGTGAGCCGGTAGCGCAGGATGGAGGAGCTTTAGGGTGGTGGGATGGTTTTTGAGGGCAGGGTGATGGCTTCCTGGTGTGGTTTGATCGATTCATAGAATTTATCACAGGATCCGTGGAATGGGTTGGGTTGGGAGGGATTGTAAAGCCCCCCCAGCCCCACCCCCTGCCATGGGCAGGGACACCTTCCATAGCCCAGGTTGCTCCAAGCCTCATCCAGCCTGGCCTTGGACACTCCCAGGGATGGGGCATCCACAGCTTCTCTGGGCAACCTGTCCCAGTGCTCCCAACCTCTGCGGGAAGAATTCCTTCCTGATATCTTAAAAAAAAAAAAAATCATACTTTTGCAATTCTTCACTATGTTGTGGGTTTTTGGTTTTTGTTTTAATTTGGTATGTCACCTCTGGGTTTTCTCCCTTTCTCCATGGTGGTTGATTTTGGAGTTACACTTGCAGATACCCTTCCTCCTGGGAACTTTCCCGGGAGAACACTCGTAACTGCTATAGACACAAGCTCAGGGTGAAGAACGTCTCCTCCTGCTTGTAAAACCATTCTCCTGGGAATGTTAAAGGAGAAGTTGGTGGTATTTCTTTCCGAACTTGCGGCGCACGATAAGCGGTTTGCCCCACGTTTCCCGAGTGACTGAGGAACAATTCTACAAACCGGTTTCCAATCACTGGTTGCCCCTCGGCTTCTGTTTCATGAGCTAACTGTTCTTGCAGGCCATCATCTATGCGATTTCTGCTGTGGACGAGATCGATTACAAGAAGGCAGAAGAGAAATACATAAAAGGGCCATCGTTGGGCAAAAGGTATCTGTTTTTAGTGTTCCCTGAGTTTTTCTTGCTGTTCATACAGGAAAAATGAGAGGGTGAGGGCAGGCGGGTTCAGCATCCTCCCTTCTGGGAGGCCGCTTCCTCCTTGTCGCGGTTACAAATGGTTAAACGGGGGAGACGCTCCTGCTGATTTACGGTGACACCATTCGGATTCTTTACTACGGTGCTTCCATGTGTTTCTTTTCAGGGAGAAAGAAATATTTGATGAAGAAATTCTAGAAAGAAAGAAGCTGAAGACCAAATAGGCGTCTCCAGGCAGCACCTGAACGGCGGGCGGGCTCCCTCCCGAGTTACCCTGGCACCGAGGGGTTATCATTAAGTGGTTATTCGTATAAAACGTGCCGTTCTTACTTTCTGAAGTCCGTGTGTGTGTCTCCAAAAGCTGCCGCCGCTCTAAC